AATATGAAAATTATAATAATGCAATATACAACAGTAAAAATCAATACAAACCTAATAATTATACAATATAAAACAGTGGATATCCAAAACCAAAAACTTGCTACCAAAATAAAAATATTAAAGCTTATCCTAAGTCTGAGCTCGCTTATGCTTGTCTACAGGGACTAGAGAGGGAGGGAAAGAAAAGTCAGAAATAACTGGGGAAGGGAAGGGAATGCATATGTGTGTGTGTGTGTGTTTGCATATGTATTAAAAAAAAGAAAAACTGGGGGGTTTGCTACAGAAGAGAGACAGTAGTTCTGCAGGATAGCCAGAATAAGATACTAGATCTCTTTGGAGTGTCATGAAGAGAAAGTCCTCATTAGGATACTTTCAAGAAATGGTAATGTGGACATGGATACGGTAGACTGTTTTTTAAGTCTTTTTACTCTAACTGCTTTGTTCCTGTTAAGTAGGCTGTCTGGAACTGCAGGGGCTTGAACTTTGTCAAATCTTTAGAATAAGAACAATCAATACTGGGCACATCTACACATGTGCCCCACTATGAGTTTGGTACTGCACAGTCATTTAGGACTTGCTTAAGTACTAGGTTGTGCTGTAGCAAGTACCAGGATATGTTTTAGCAAGTACTAAATGACTGCGCTGTACCTGCTGGTACTGTGCAGTGAAGGGGTAATTTCCAACCCTACTGTGCAGTAGCAACAAGCAACTGCGCAGTAGCTCGTTGCTACTGCATAATAGTGGCAGCATCATGGTTAGTGCCTGCCGATGCTACGTTGCCATAGCAATGAGCTACGTCGCCATAGCTTCTCTCTACGGCGACATAGCATCTCGTGTAGAAATGCCCACTGGGTACAATTTAGGAGTGGGAAGAACTACAAAATTCCATCACAAGATAGTGAAGGCACAAGGCCTACCACTGGATCAGATGCATTTAGAGAGGCTGAAAGGGACACAAGTAATTATGACAGACCCATTAAAAGAGCTGGAAAACACCCTTTTTGTCAACATCTGAGGATATTTCTAGTACTGATAACCTGTTATGATTAACATAGCTTTGAGAGGAAGAGCACATAAAGTATTTTGCTGGCTGCTTTGAAAGGTTTAAAAGTTCTAGTTACGTGTAATTTGAGCAATTAGAGGAGGGAAGAGAGTGTGAGTTGCTGAAAAGATTAGGGATTTATATAAAGACCCTGCAGGAAGAAACTTTTGCTTGGGACAATAAAGAAAACAGCCCAGGAGCCTGAAAAATATAAATCCTGTTAATGCCATGAAGTAGTTGAGTTAAAAACATGCTAAAATGAGAGAGTTTTTTCTTTCTAAAGTGAGCTGGAGAGATCTCTTCTGAGGAACGGTTCAGAGAGAAAGAGAAGAAGGTACGCAAAATAGCAGTTCTTTCTAGAGCAAGGTTTGGGCTAAATTTAAATGTTGAAACTTAGACAAGGATACCCTTCTGTCTCTCTCTTCTGTCTCATCGTGGATTAAAGCCAGTCTGACAGCCTTTTGAGACTGGTGAGGGAGTGATAGATTATAAGCAAGCGACAAGTAAGCAAGCAGTAAGTAAAGTAGTTTAAAAGGCATCCAGCCTAAAAATACATGGCTTGGGCTAAAGGGCAATGGATGTAGGCAACAATATTTTGCTTTCCTTCTCAAAGCCTAAAATGTTCGTGTGCAATTTGTGTAAGCTTCCATAAACTTTTGGCAAATCTTGTAATGCCAGGGATGTTTTGTAGGTGCTGTGCTATAATATGAGATCCCTCAGATATTCTGATATCACCCCACAAAGTGCTCTACAAGCTGAATCTAGCCTTGAATGTATCCCAGAACTTGACATGAAAAGGAAATCCCAATACATATCTGCAATTTTAGCGTTAGGTACGTGATATCTTAGCCCCTTAATATCACTTTCATCTTTATGGCACTCTGCAAACATTATTTATTTTTTACAGAAATAATTCTGAATAATAATGACAAGAGTAGTAATGAAAAAAAATATTAAAGGTACCTTGGCTTCAGAGAAGGTGTTGTAGGGAATCCCCAACTAAGTTTCATTTAATGGCTTTTCTTGTTTAGGCCCTAAAATATTAACTTTCCTTAACAGAGGTTATTGTAGGTTATCTTAGATTCAATGGCACTGAAGGAATTTAAAGAATGGCATCCTGTAGGACAGTCAAATTATAAAAAGGCAAATAAAAGTAACTGGCATGATAAGTGAATCAATATTGTTTTATTCCCTGCATGCCATATTCCAAATTTTACAATGAAAAATGCCCACGTCTATTTACTTTGCTAGCTTTAGTAAATATCACACCCATTTTTTACTCCTCCTTTTCCTCCTCCTGCAGCATCTCCTCCCCTCTGATGGCATTACTTGCAAAAGTGGGTATTATATAAAGAAAAGTTTCCAGAAAGCGTTCTCAGTTTCCCCACCTTAGCCGCTATGGGGCTAAGACTTGCCAGCCTTTTTATCCTATGGCTGGCTCTTTCCTATGCAAGGAAATATGAAACAGGTAAGAACTAGAAATGGTCTATGGAAGAACCTTCTAACGGAAAAGTGTGGAAACTTGCAACTGAATAATTTAAAGGAATTTTAAAATGGCTAAATTACCTTCATACTGAATATGTGAAATAGATACTTCATGTGAAATAGATGTTGCTCTTTTGGAGAGCAATTCTATACTGTTGGATGTGCTCAATGGCTATATCCTCCATATTGGTCTCTAGCCTGATGGAAAAAGAACATTATTTTTCCTTACTATGTTTTCAGACAGTTTTAACTGCAATAATTGTGTAGTATAAAAGTTTACAGGAGTTAGGAAAAAAGGAGATGAAGATCCTAGGCTGGATAGGCATCTGGCTGGGGTCATTTGACCCCAGCACTCTTTCCTGCCTAGGCAAGGGGTTGGAATCAATGATCTGTTGAGGTCACTTCTGACCCTAGCATCTCTGCATCTATGAAACTAAGGTAATCTGTGCATTTGGCTACATTGAAAGAGTGTTTTGTACTTTCTTTGTCAAAGGTGTATGTTTATGTAACACTTGGCAAAATGTTACATTTTTTCAATCCATTGCTCTAACAATCCCAGTTTATATCTTATTCTGTCTTCCTGAAAATAAGTTTCCAATTTAATGGGTGTAAGGTCATGGAATAAATATCTATTCTTTACACCACAGCAAGCATTTTAGGACAGATAGGTGATGCTCTCCTGATCAGCATTTGGATCATGGGCTTTGTCCTTTGTTTCTTGAATTTGCAAGTGTTATGGAGCATTGCTTTCCCATTCCATTTTCCATCAGATGCAGACATCTGCAAAGATGGGTTCTGGAAGAATTTATGTGGAGAAAGAAGCATCTTGAGCCTTTGGTTGAATACAAAGAGTCAAAGAGGGGAATTTGGGAATCCCTGAATGACCTCCCAGAGGAAACAGTATCTATAAATCTCTTGAGAAACTTAGACTGAACTAGATGCATGAAGTGTAAATATGATGCTTTTTTGCATGCAGTGAATACAGTGAAGCTAGTGCCTTCAAAATCCAAAGTTTAAAGTGAACTTTTTCACAATGAACCTTGTGATTTGAATGCATATACCTGAAATCAGAGGTGTCCTCTTACTATTTTAGCAGTGCGCTCTTGCCATGCACAGATTTGATAAAAAGCCTCAAATCTAATCTGCAACAATACATGTAAAATTTGTGTCAGTTGTTGATGTGGAAAAGTGGAGCAGGAATATAAATGAGTCTACCAAACTCCTCCTTTCATAATACTTCTTTTTCTTTCTTAGTATATTCTCTTGTCTCCTTGTGAAGGTTGATTGTACTGTAAGTTCTGAGTTCTAGTTTTAATAATGATCTCAAGTTCTGCACACATTCTTTTGTGACAGGACAACATTTCTGCACAGAATAATAGGGGCTTTGATTGGCTTTTCAATACATTTGTTTCCCTTCTGGTAGATATTGGAACAATCAAAGCACTAACTCCCATAAGGAATGTATATAATAAAAGTATTAACCACAAAATAATTACAGTGATTTAAAATAAATTAATACCTTTGGCATGAGAGCTTAATGGTACTGAAATATTATACTCATTATAGGTGTATTAAACTGCTCTACTTGAAGCAGTCAAGAGCTTTCATCCATTCAAAGCATACTGAGATGTGTAAGAGGGACCCAGAAATTCAGATCTTTTCTGCATATTTTGCAAATGCTGGAGATTTAGAGTTGGCTGGAATTTTACAGGACATCATGCACATACTTATAAATGACTTGCTATGCATTCCTTGTTGGTTTACTTTCTTTTGTAAACCTAGTTGTATTTTGTAACTAAAGTGCGTATGTGCCACTCTTCTACAGTAAAATGTTGCTTAATAGTAGAGGATGCCTGCTATTTAATTTCTTTTCTTTTTTTTCATGTCTTTTCTACCACCTAACAGGTAGA